CCTCATCAGGGGTGTGCAGTCAGTAGATTTACTATTTGGAGACCTTCCCACAGCACATCTATCCAGGGCCTTTCTTTGTTGGCCCAAGTGATACTTATGGTTCTGTTTGAAGGTTTCAACCCAGATGATGACCCATGGGAAGCTGAAAGGGAAGTTTGGAAGATCTTGGCTTTATGCCCACTTTATGGAAATGGGAGACTCCTCCATTGCTTGCTCCTGTGGCCTTATGGCTGAGGGCAAGCAAAACTCAGGGACATCCGAACCCCAAGCCTCCGGGCTTGGTCCTGCACATAGGATGCCTGCCAAAGGATTTGGAAACATTTAAAGCCCCAGGTAGGGTGGAGGATGTTTGCTGGTAGTAGGGCCACTTTATGGTTCTTGACTGACTCATGGATTTGGAATTGATTTGACTGATTTGGCTTGGAACGTGAAAAATTCTCTTTAAAAAAACAAGTTTGCATTTAAAAAATCATAAAAGTTTATCTATGAAAAATTACATTAGAAGAATATTAGTGATGCAAAGTCAAAATTTGCATCTAAATGTTGGAAATGTAAATTTAACCTGGTAATCCCTCCTCCCTCTCAAATTGGCATATTATTATTGACTGCCTCAAAATGCATATGGAAAAGGAAGGGGCATAAATTGGATAGAATTACACAGACAACCTAAAGTGTGAAATTTCTAGAGAGTGGACATTTATCTTTACATGTCCGTCTGTCTGTCTCTCTTTTCTGTATAGTATATAATATTGTGTGTGTATGAATGGAAATACTTAGCTTATAGCTCTTTTAAACCATAGATCTGAAAGTGTTTTATAAAGACACACAACAGATAAGTGTTACAGATAAGTGTGTGCATGTTTATGTCTGTGCAAAGTATTAGTATGGACTTGTTACATTGACACCTGTGACTTTTGTCCATATAATCAATTGAACAGGGATTTCCAAAAGTGGTGTACTGGTATTTTACAAGATTCCTGTGGGTGAAGAGATAAATGCTCTCTTCCCCTATCCAGTACCCTGCACCTGCTCCAGCAATTCTGCAAGTACCCGTGGCTGTTCCTCTCCAAAATTTGCTGTAGGCCCCCTCCCACAACCCCCTCCCAGCACCGCCGCTGCCCATCCAGAGTGCAGCCTAGCCCAGCCCTGTGCCGGGAAGAGACTAGTACAGCACCTGGCCCCAGCCAGCCCCACTCCGCGCACAGATCCAGGGGCACCCCCAGTGCCCTCCTGGGGTACACATAGTGGCGGGAGCTGCCCCCCATCCCTGCACCCCCTGGACAAGCTGCGGCTCTGTCCCATGTCCCATCCTGCCCCAGCTGGGCAGTTCCGGCCCCAGCCCCACCCTCCCTCATCACAGGGGTCTCGATCTGCCTCCCCACACCCCTTCTCTTCCCCCTTCTTTCCACCACAACAGACTTACTAGCCAGGCACTGATTTTCAAGCTGCCGGGCTGCGTATTGGAAATTGGATCGATATCAGCCAATATGTCTCCTTAAAAATCGGCTATCAGTATTGGGCCGAAAAATCTCATATTGGTGCACCTCTACTGCTTACCAAACTCTTCCCTGCCCCCCAGGCAGCCAGTGTGCCAGTTTTGCCATTTGTCCCAGCAGTACACTGCTGAGCGTGAGGTAGGCAGATGCATAGTTGCAGTCCAGCTTATCCCCTCCACTCTTCCCCTCCACACTGTCTGCCTCTTCCTGAACCTTGTTTATGCCTCAGGAGCAGGCCTCCACTGTTGAGACAACATGTGAGACCCCACAGAAGCAAGCAACCATCCCCAGGACACCTCTCACTAGCCCTGAGCCCATGGAAAGCAGAACACAACAGAGTGAGGTCCTGTCCCTGCCACCCTTAAGTGGCACCAGCTGGATCAGTGATTCTCAACTTTTTTTTAGCCTTAGAGGACCCCTCCACATCATTTCTGAATTTAGGTCCATCTTGGTGATTTTCAGCTGGAGTGCTGCAAAATTCAGAAAAGTTATGGTGTTGTTATTTTTAGCAGTATGTCTCAGCACTGATTTCCTTTGGCAGGGGAATGGAATATATTATATGTTATAAAAGTGTGTGTGCACGCGCACCTTGTTAGGTGTAGGAGTGGTGTGTGCGGTCAGTTCTAATCCAGAAGAAAGGTGTGCCCAAGGTATCAAACGTTTGGTAAACACTGACCTACAGGCTGGCTGGGGGTTGGAATTTTTCCCTTCGTGCCAGCATTTCCTATCTATTTTGCAAGGCAGAGAGATGAGTAATAGAAAGCTAATGGAACGTGAGCGTAAGCACAGTTTGGTTTTGGAATAAATGCCCACAATGTCCTCAAGGTATAAGAATGTTTGCTTCCAAATTCCTTTTCATGTAACATGCACCAATAGTGACACAAGTTTTCTGTCTTTCTGACGAGACTGGAAATACAGCACTGCTTGGTAGTACCTATAACCATTATATATATATACAAGAGACAATGGAAGCTG